CGCCTCAGCTTTAAAAAGGAATTCAATCTCTCCAGTTCGACTATGAACTCCCTTCGCCAAAGGAATTCAGCATCGCCAGTTCGACTATGAACTCGTCTCGGCAAAAGGAAATTAGCCTCTGCCAGTTCGAATATGAGCTCGCCTCAGCTTCAAAAGGACTTCAGCTGTGAAGTCAACTTCGTTAACCTTATGCATTAAATAACTTCTTGAAAGTCCACGCATGGCATAAAATAACCACACATGGATTTGGGGGATTATTGTTACGGTTCGTAAATGGAAGCGACATGTGGCACCATATTGCAGTGATGGGACCAGCTTAGTTGAGACAGGGTGTATTTTCCTAGCCTTTGGCGTGGAGACCGAGGCCCCGGCTTGTTTCGAGGCCTTAACTAATTCGAGGCTTTCATTTATTATGGGGATATGTTACCAATGAAGATCCACGTGGAAAAAATATAGCAATGATGAAGATCTTCATGTGAGTGATTGATATGACTTTTGTGAAAAGCAACTTTATGTCTTGTCTTGTCAATGTAAGAGTATTTAATGTTTTGTAAGGCTATGAAAGTCAACTTGATTGTTAGGATTTGATGCTCTGGCCGAGGAGATGAGGCCACGTGTAAATTGATCCAAATGTTATTATTTCATTTGTAACACTATAAATACCCCCACCATGTAATACAAAAAGGATAATGAAAAAATTCCAAATACTTGAAACAAGATCATTCTCCTCTCTCTCACTGGAACAACGAATTTCAACTATAAATCTTGTTCTTATCGATTGGTTTCTTATACAATCGTATTACATTTATCTTGCCGGAAACCCGAACAGAAACGTTTCGTGTCTTTGAGCTACTCTCACGTTCAGTTTCTGGAGCCATCTTGACCGTTGATCGGCATTAACGTATTGGATCAAATTTACGTGTGTACGAGTGGGCTGGCATCTATTGGCAATATTTTTTTGGGTCAACAGTAAGTATGTTTCTTTTTAATCTTTATTATATTTTATTTATTTTATTTGAAAATATATGAAATATTTATTCATGTACAATTTTAATTTCGTCTATATATTGTAGTTGATACCAAGGCCGAACATAGAAGAGTTTTTACAAATATATAATTTCTTATTTTTACACTTTTCTT